TTTTTTGAGACAGGGTCTGTCTATTACACAACTCTGACTTTCCTGGACCAGGCTGGCCTCAAACTCACAGAGATCCATCTGCCTCTGCCTCCTGAGTGCTGGGATTAAAGTCCCAACATTAAAATTGTGGTGGTTGGACTAAGAATAGCCATCATAGGCTCACCTGTTTTAATGTCTAGTCCCCAGGGACTGGCTCTCCCTGAGAGGATTAGAAGGATTAGGAGGCGTGGCCTTGTTGGAGGAAGTGTGTCACTGGGGTGGTCTTTGAGGTCTCCAAAGCCCGTGCTAAGTGCAGAGTTTCTGCCTATGGATCAGGATGTAAAACTCTCAGTATTGTATGTCGCAGCCGGGCATGGTGGCATAGACCTTTAATCCATGCCTGGCTGTGGCATACAACACTTTGTAAGACATAATCTTTCCCTTTTTTTTTTTTTTTTTTTTTTTTGGTTCATCCCGAAGATCTCAGATTAATAAATATCACAAATATGAAACATATTGCAAACTTTAAAATCCTATAATCCTTAGCAATTTAACACTTTAAAAGTTCAGTGTCCATAAAAAATCCAAAGTCTCTTTTAAAGCCCCATATTTCTTTTAAAAATTCAAAGTCTCTCAACTGTAGGCACCAATAAAATAAAGAATAAGTTAAACAATTCCTTCCTTTCTTTCTTTTCTTCGAGACAAGATTTCTCTGTGTAGTTTTGGTGACTGTCGTGGATCTCGATCTGTAGACCAGGCTGGCCTCAAACTCACAGAGATCCACCTGCCTCTGCCTCCCAAGTGCTGGGATTAAAAGTGTGCACCACCACCGCCTGGCATAATTTCTTACTTTAACAGGGAAGAACCGTGCTGGGCGGTGGTGGCACATGTCTTTTTTTAAAATATTTTTATTATTATTTATTTATGTGTATATATCTGTATATGTGCATGTATCTGAGGTTAGGGCCATCCCCTGGAGCTGGAGTTACAAGCAGTTGTGAACTGCCTGATTGTGGGTACTGGGAATCAAACTCAAGTCCTCTTATAGAACAATACATGTTCTTAACCCCTGGGCTGTCTCTCTAGCCCCCAGGTGGCACATGTCTTTAATCCCAGCACTCAAGAGTGCAAAGGCAGGCAGATCTCTGTGAGTTCAAGGCCAGCCTGGTTTACAGAGTGTGTTCCAAGACAGTCAGGGCTACACAGTGAAACATTGTCTGGAAATACAAAAAAAAAAAAAAAAAAAAAAAGAAGGTTGGGGAGAACTAAGCCTAGTCACAATCTAACAAAGCAAAACCACACTCCAACACTGTAAATAATTTAACATCCAATATCTGGGATTCACTCTCGATCTTCTGGGCTCCTGCAAGGGGCGTGGGTCACTTCTCCAGCTCTGCCCTCTGCAGCACACCCAGTTTATCTTCTAGGCTCCAGATGACTGCACTCCACTGCTCCACTGTTTTTCTGTTGTTGTTGTTGTTGTTTTGGTTTTTTGAGACAGGGTTTCTCTGTGTAGCCCTGGCTGTCCTGGAACTCACTCTGTAGACCAGGCTGGCCTCGAACTCA